TTGTAGATCTCTTCCTGGATTCCATGCAATCACGGGCTGTGATTCGACCAGCGTTTTGGCGGGTATCGGGAAGAAGAAGGCTTGGGATAGTTTTTGTCGTAGTACTGACCACCAGGATAGCGTGTCTCATCTCGGAGAGGAACAAGAATTGAACGTAACCACAGCCGGCAAATGCGAAGCCTTTGTTTGCAGTCTATATACAACATCCAAAAAGGCAAGCACCGTAGATGAGCTGCGTTACTTCATGTTCTGCCAGAAAAAGCAGAAAAACGAAATGCTTCCACCGACGTCTGATTGTCTACTTCAACATCTAAAGCGATCAAACTACCAGGCCTTCGTCTGGAGGCATGCTCTTGAAGCGATGCAAGATCTTGAGTCACCAGAGGGTCATGGATGGGTGAGGGATGAAAAGCATCTTTTACCATTGCTAATGACAAAAGCACCGGCTCCGGAAAGTCTCCTCGAACTGACGACGTGTAAGTGCAAGACGTCTTCCTGCTTGCGAAACTGTTCCTGCAAAAACACAGGGCTTTCTTGTACTGAAGGATGCTACTGCATGGCAGATGATGAAGTATGTAAAAACCCGCATGGTGTTACCTGCGTAAGTGACTCTGAAGAAAGCGACGAGGAGTGAAAAGGCTCTCGAACTGTTGAATTGTTTGATGTTTGACGTATATTTTCTACAGAGCAAATTTATAAAGGCAGAAATATTGCTATCAGTAATCTCCTATACAGTATTTCATTTCACTGACAAAAAGGGTATTGTAAACAACAGATTTTGTAAGATAACATAAGTATCGACGTATATGCGTTCCGGGCGATTTAATAGGCATCTTCTAGCACTGAAATAGAAGTTTTGGCTTGTCTGAGGTCACGTGCTCGGTCACGTGACCTTGCTTTGCAAAGTTTAAGCATGATTGGGATATAATTTGTTAAGAAGTAACGATATTAGAGGTTTCCCTTGATCAACAATTGCAGATAACACCGTAAACAGAAGCTACCGGAATGAGCCTCGTTTTCATGTTGACCCGGAAATGGGAGAAAAATTGTCATTCTTTTATTGTTTCAGTTTCAATAAGCTAGAATTTGTCTTGAAGTGCGTAATGCACCAACAGTACGTATAAAATATCAGAATATTTATGAATAATTAACACATTTAAGGTAATGAAGACGTTAAAATAGGCTAGTAAAAGCTATAAAACACCATTTTTGACCTTGTAGCTGTCACGTGTTCGGTCACGTGACCTCAATTTAAGCAATCTGAACATGATTAAGATTCCTGCTACAAAAGTGTAACGATATTTGTAAATTCAGGTCAAAATAAACGTTTAATTTACGCATTATCAGTGGTCTTCTATCTTAGCCTCGTTTCCATGAATTTAAAGGAGTGACCTATTAAAATAGCCGCTTAACTTGTGATCTATACCACAAATCAACTCTACTAACTAGCTGACATTGATCAGCAGGTCTTGTTCTATCAAAATCCGCTATCAAACCTTTTCTGACCCGATCATTGTACGAAACCCTTCTTTTAGGGTCCTGGCTTCCGGACTATTATCTGCACGTATTAGCTTCATTAATGATATCATTCTGGAGTTCATCCATTTTTTCCTTCCATACTTTTTTAAGATTAAACCTTTTCTTTTCTCCATTCACAAGATTATAAAGGTTGCTTCTCACCAAACCCTCCTGATAAGCGAGGATATTTGCTCCCTCAACTGTAGCTCGGTGAATCCTTTGCTTTCCTTTTTTGACTGTTATCTTCCAGCGGTTTTCTCCCCTTTCTGATGGTTTGAAGATTATGCGCATGTCATTTTTCTCTCTCGAAAGGTGAGCCTAAAGAGCATCACCAACAATCAACGTATTCTCTGCGTAGTCACCTGTGTAAGTTTTTGCCTCACCAAATTTTATTTTCCATTTTGTTTCTGTCGGAGTTTTTGAAGGGACTCCAAGGACGAGCTGTTTAGGGTTTGAACTTTCATTAACATAGTTCTTGGTAAATTTGTACTCGTCAGGTGGCCTGAAAGCAAGAGCTACGTATTCACTTCCTATGTTTACCACTGGCCTGTCATCATGCTTTAGATCCAAAAGAAGCTGATAATTTCCAGTTGTTCCAAACACAATCCGTTTAGCTTCTGGAACTTTGATGCCTAGTGAATACCGCCATTTTTTCCCTTTATACAGTTTGTAGAGTCTTTGCTGCTTTTTTATAGAGAAGAACATAATGCGATTTGTCGTGTTTAAGCAAGTTTATATACTGATCAACGATGGTAATGAAGGAATTTTCAGGTAAATCCATAGAATATAATGTCCTGTTTAAACCGTCTCTGGGACCAAGATCTTCTTCTCTATGCAAAAAACTTATAATGAAGTCACCACAAAGACCAGGAATAGGTTCAGCTTTTAATGCAGTGGTGTCTAAATTATATTGAAATGGGACACTAGGAACAGGTCGGTCACCATATGGTTTGCCAAGCTTTCTCTTAATGGAGTTTAATGTATAGTCCCTAATGCATTCAAGTCCTTCACTTTCCAGGCTGGGAACCTGGTCGCATCCAAAATATTTTGTTTTTCGTTCAACCAAATACAGCTTCATCTCGCCTATATTTCCTGGTTTTGTGCGTTTCAATATGATCCTTCCAGTGTTCGTGTGTTGTTCGCCCTTCCAGTCTCTCAGGAAGGTCACCAATGTTTGTGTTTCCTCATCGTATGCTACTTCGCTTTTGTAATAACGTTCAAAGTTGGCATACCCACGATTAATCCTTTTTACGAGGTATATTTGCCCAAGCGTTGGGGAATCATCGATAATAGTGTGAGTAAAGTTGCGTTCATCGGATAGATAGATGATATATTTGTTGTTTCCGCCGTCGTTGTTTACTACACAGTTTTTGTCTTCTCCCATCACAATTACGTCATCGAATGGAGTCCCTGGAAATTGTGGTAGAAAAACTGACATTTAACTGATAAAATCAAAAATTCGGTTCATCAAGTGACTTGATAACTAAAAGTAGAATGGTCACTGTAGCGGGATAGAGCGATTTTTGTATGACTTTGAAAAATGGTTTCGGTAAGTGTTCGTTATTTGTTGTATTAGCCAATGGATCAAAACGTGGACTCTTCGTATTCCCGCTAAAGAAAACCCTACTTCAACATTGTGTTGCAGTATGACGTCAAGCGAAGTATCGATTGATTTCAAGAAAATTCTCGGGCATGGAGTTTTTCCACCCGAGCCTTTGCTCAACCAATAAAAAGCCACGCGCGTTTGTATCTGTTTGATAAACCAATTAAATCGCTCTATTTCCGTTCGTTTGTTGTTTCTGTTTTGTTCGCGCGTTTTCATTTCAAGGTCATACGAAAATCACTCAAACAAAGCCGACGTTTCAAATTAAGCTTCAATCATCGGAAAGATAAACGACTTAGCGCTAGAGATATCAGCTTCTCTATACCTCTACAGAGGCAACCTCTTTAACATCAGGAGTAAGATAAAACCTAGAATTTATGCACTTTACTACCCCCAACACAACACCACAGTAACTGTTTCTTTACTAAAAAATGACCCCACTTTCTACCTCATGAGATCAGTCGATTTGTAAAACTTTCAGTTATGGCAAATGTTGTCGAACATTTCGCGAAGATTCCCAATGGCGACCAATTTGTGTTAGTGCCATGCTAACAGTTGGTTTGCCTCTTTCTTTCTCTTTCTTTCAATAGTCGAATCATTTGAGTCTCATTTCATATAAGAGGAAATCGATGAAAACGTGAAGATCGTTTATTTAGAGTGTCTGATTTTAACTTGGGCAACAACTAGGAACAAATCCTGCTCTGACTTATAGCAAGGGTCTGTTCCAATGAAGTCAACTTCGGGACAAAAATTTCATCTCGAAGCGCCACCCAGTCAACCCGTCGTGTCATCTTGTCATCTTGTCATCTCGCCGATGCTTCATCTCAACTCGTCATTGCATCTGGTCATCTCGTCGTGTCGTACTGTCAACTGGTCGTCTCGTTCTGATGTCTCGTGTTTTCGTCTTTTCAACTTGCGTGCATTGACTCATTTGTTCTTCAACTCGTCATGTCGACCGTCAATTGGTCGTGTCACCCATATGGTAGCCATGTTGCTTAATGGTTATAGTATCCAGGTCCCCTCTTTAAAAACGCTAGAGAAAAGGGCGACGAGTTGATGGGCGACACGATCAGTTGACGGTCGAAACGACGAGATGACAGTAGACACGACGAGTTGAAGAACAAACGAGTCAATGGACGCTAGTAAAAACGAGATAACAAAGCGAGACGATGAGTTGACACTAAGACACGCCGGGATGACTAGATGAAATGACGAGTTGACACGCTGCATTGCAGAGATGACTAGAGCACACGACTGTATGACTGGGTGGCGCGTCGAGATGAATTTTTTGTTCAGACGTTTACGTCATACTTTGGACTCAACTGAAAAATATATTTAAGCCATACTGCCAGTATTCATTTGAAATTCTTTAGACAGTGCGCCGATTAGAGCGTCATGGTTAATCAACGGCTTACATCAAAAAGCTTGTCATGAAACCAACCACCTTAATCATTATTGTAACGTCAAATTACTTTATTATTCCCAGTAAGAAAATATAACACAAGGCCGATTAGCTAAGTTCGATCTGATACATACCATGAAATACATTCACACCAAATATGTTGCCGATATGCTTTTCCTTTACTGGAGAATATTCTGATTCTGAGTCCTTCATTCTCAAATGGAATTGAGTGTCATTGTCGATTATACGTTCTCTCATATCGAATTTCACACCGACGAAAATTTTTGGTGGACCCGTAGAATGCCCAGGGTTGGCCACGGGGGTAAACGTAAAGATTTTGGGGTTCATGCCTTGAAATGACAATGTATTGATTCCTTCACCAAGTGTTCCTGAAAAACAGTTCCAACCAGAACATGGTATTCCAGTAACCTGGACCAAGTCATCACCAGCACCAGTATAAAATTTATTGTAACCAGCTCAAGCAAGGCCTGCGTATTCACCAAACACAACGTTATCAGGGTTCTTCTGTTCTTCGTCGTTTTCTACCTCAGTGTCGATTCTAACTCCCCTGATGCTAAACTGCTCAGCAACCATGGCCGTGTTAGCAACAACGGTCACTCCCTTTCCTTCGGGATTAGTGACGTTTCCATAATAGTCGTAACCGAGTTCCACTATACCTTTGGGCTGGAAGAAGAAATTGCTGCCGTAGTTTGACTTGTCAAACATACGTTTCTTTCCCATTGTAAGGTACCCATTCTCTTTACCGGGCTTCATTGAAGCATTGAATACGAGATCTGTAATATCTTCAAACCCCCAAATACGTTGAGACTGATCGTTGCGCATCGCTACTATTAAATTTCCTTGATTAACTTCGTAAATGGTGTCAAATCCAGTGTTTTGATTAAATATGGGAGAGACTTGCTGGGTTATGTTAACTTGGTTTTGCAGATACTTTAAGGAACCTTCTTTCAGTTTCTGAATTGCATCAAGATGTTCGCCTATGGTGACATGCGGATTTGCAGAATTGATCAGGTCAATAATAATTGACGCAAGTGAAAGCACGCATCCTATAATTGCACCAACAGGACCTGCCACTGCAGCCAGAGTACTTCCAGCAGTTGCCAATGCCCCCACAACGAACGCTGTCACTCCAACGGCCCCGCTAGCAACTCCCAGTGATGCACTTGCAATATTTAAAGACCTGACTTCTGGTGGAGAATCTTTGTCATGGATTGTATTATGCAGTTGCCAGCCAGAAAATGCTACATTGGCGGCATCAAAGAATGGCCCACTTATGGTATCAACCCAGGTCAAACCGTTCGCCCACTTTTTGGCATTATTTAGACTCTTCACAAGATCATCATACCCTTGGGTGTTTCTCAGAAATGTGGTTACTTCGTTGTTAAAAACATTTGCAATTTTCTTCCTCAGTGCCTTAGAGCTGTCAATGATGTCATCTGCGTCATCTGCACTACCATAGACCACAGCTTCTGTTACTACTTTGTTGTACTCCTTGAATCCAGCGACTGTCTGATGAAATCCTTTGTGTTTTACCAACTGATAAATCAGTTCAGATGCAATGGGGGACACTGTTGCTTGTGTTGTATCGAAAACTGTAAGGGTTGCCCTAGCGATATTGAGTGTTTCCATTGCCGCCTCTTGCTCTCCTTGCTCCATTTGGAATATCGCAGCAATTATACCAGATCTCTACCAGATACCCGTTCCACCTACATACACTGATGTCAAGGATGATCCTGTGGCTAACATTCTAGTTGAATCAGCTCGTTTAAGGAAGTTATTCCCAATCTTTTTAAGCGCACTTGCTCTATATCGACTCCTTCCATCTACGTCCAACAAGTAGAAAAGGGACAGAGCACAGCAGAAGACCAGGAAGCGCAGTGTTACCATTTCTAAAACGATAGAAAGTTTGTTAGTGTGACAATACATTCTGGTAGAATCTTTAATTTGTCAAAAAAAGAGCAATTAAAGTAAGTTCCCTGAACCTTAACACTCAAGCCCTTAAGGTGAAATCTATCTTTTATGCAAGGTGATTACGGCTTGTCAAAGCTGGTAGTGACGTAAAAGATGTTTTATGACATATTGACCACTAAATTCGACAACATCGCACATCTACATTCAAGTTACGAGGATACAAAACAATAACACAGTAAATGATCTGACCCGTAGATAGCAAAGGCTAATTGATGCCGGTCTATATAATCAAGTTTTTTGAAATAGATATTTACCTTATCAATTTTTTATTAGATTCAAAACAAAAAGAAGTTTGAACTGATGAATATAGGATACAATAAAATAAAAAGAAAAAGAGACGAAGTGTATGTGATCCATTTTTCTGTGAAAAGAACACCGAAAAGACAGATTTTCTAATTTAGCTTTTTATCCTATAGTTTTCAAAACATTACGAATTTTGCGCCTTTAGAATGTCAAATAGTGTAATTTTAAGTTCTTCGTGACCGCTGTTTTTCGATGATGTTTTAAAGATCATAATGTAATTCGGTACGAAATTGTTTTCGAAACTGAAGATTATATCTCATACGGCTTGTACTTCGAGTAGGAGATTGGTAGAATTTTTTGGCAAACTGATGAGTATTACTAACAGCAAATAAACACTAAAAGGCACTATACTGAACAGTGTAGCTCTCGTCATACCTTGGTACTTACGTTATAAAGGAATATCCGGAAAGAAAAAAGGTATCGACGATATGAAGGTGAAAGAAAAGCTAAGATGTTAATTACTCGACAGCGTGTTAGCAGCAGAAAATAAAGTAGCAAGTTAAAAATTTTCTCATTCTGCACAACGGTATAAAGCCTTTTGCCTCCCTTACCATCTTGCTTATGAACTCTGACATCAATTGAAATCCTTTAAGTACCGACCTGTATCACAACCCTGTGTCCACTCTCTTCTTAATGTTAATAGTTTCAAGGCCATTAGCAAAGAGACTATTGTATATCCTTTAAAATGCTATCCTTGTCTTCACTAAATTATTTCTTATTGTCCTACTAGTTAATTTAAAATTGTACGTCGTAAATCTTATGTATGAGATGATGGGTAGAAATTAATTTCTGTCCTTACCTACAGATTCGTTGGCTGTAGCCCTGTTTTTGACTTTCCGACTGAGAAGTCTAGTAAAATAACGAGGTAAAATCATTACGTAATCTAAAAATGTCCATGACTAGCATGATCTTATTGGTCGAAATTTCATGATGTAATCTCTTCCGAGCTTTTTTGATCAACTAATGAAGCATATAATAACGAAAATAGTAATAATAATAAAAATAATGATGACGTTAACTGATGATAATAATTATGATAATGACAATGAAAATGATAATGATAATGATAAAGTAATATTGATAACAACGATATTAACATGTGCGTTTCTTTCGCCTTAAATGTCACACAAAAATAACTAAAGTTTTGGAAAACATTCCTTTTGTTAACACTGACCATATGATGTCGTCTCTCGAAACACTAGGCCATCTTTTTAAAACTACTGAATAGATATCCTATTAGCTGATAACGCTGTAACGATATTTAAGTGTTCAAAGTCACTGTAATAAGCCCACTCCCTTAACCCTGTCTTACTGGTGGTGTGGGACTTATAGCTGGTATGCTCCCTCATCCCTTTTCAATATAAATAGTTGTGTGTTCGCTTGAACTGAACTCTTTTAAAAAAAAAAATCAGTGTATTGGTCACCATCTTGGCCGCCTTGACATGTGGTTACAAACCAAGAACATCGTCCCAATTTATACCTAATGATCACGAGTTTTGAGACTAAGGTGGCCGAAAGCAACGAAAAGTGCCAACTATTGTTACTATTGCAACTATTTGGACTATTTCTAGTGTAATGAATTTCTTTCGTAATGAAGAATAAAAACGTAGCCTCGATTCGAATATAGAGAAAATTCAAAATATAAGGCTAAAAGAATGTTTCTTTTCTCGTTATCATCGTAGAACATTTAATAACAAAAAGAACACATAGCCACTGATATGAATATCTAAATATGCTGGAAGACTGGCTTATTTTTTTCTGAAAATCTCCACTCTCTGTCACTCATACCGCACTTGAAACTTGCTGAAACAACCGAAATATACGATACAAATTGGTCGTCATTAAATTTTTCTTTTACCAATGATGCTAGAGTCCTTCGAAATTTGTTCTTCTTGCATATTACATTTAATATTGCTGCCCACAGTCTTTCATTCGCTTCATTAGCTGCAGTACTGTGTAGGTCTGTCGTTTTCACCTTAGACCCCAATATCTGTTAGAAAAGGAGCTTTCAATCACCCTGTTTAATGCTACATTACACTACTTTATTTCTTTTCACTTACCTACATCAGCTCCATATCGTCGTCGCCTTGAATTGTATTTGACCGTCAAATGACATTTCAGGTAAAATAGTATTTGTCCCACCTTGTCTACGACAGTTGGTGCTCTATGGCGCCTTTGAAAAGCAGTCAGTGACCCAAAGACTGTACTAGTTAATTTATTAGAACTCTTAAACACTGAAGATTTTATACCGTTGTTTTGAAAATATATTTTTTTGTCAAACCATAGAAACTCAAAGCATTACAAAATAATACTTAAAATCAATTTTAAGAAATAACATAAACATAATTTAAAAATAAAGAACTATATGCCATTATATGGGACGAACGGGTCACTGTAGTTTAATAATCAGGCGACGAGTTCTTTAGTGAATTTTTGATTACGTTTTAAAATATAGGTATCAAATAAAGTATCAAAGTAAATACTTCTCGAGTTCAGTTTATTCGCTGACTTGTTCAGAAGACGATCAATGGCCAAATTTATACTACAGACGAATTATCCGGCTGCTATAAGACGGATAAATCGTCTGGATATAAATCCGGTATTTAAACGAATTCGCCCAAAATTCGACGTCTCGTTTGACAGCACGACTTTTAGACGGGCTGACACATAAATCAAGTGAAGACGAATTTAGGGCCAAAAATCGTCCGAACAACGGTTTTATTTCGACGATTTATCAGCCTCAAACGGATTAATTCGTCTCAGACGGATAATTCGTCTCTGGTATAAATTCGGCTATTCTGTGTTTTTGTTAAGTTGTTGGCCGTTTTTACGGATAATCTATCTTCAAAATCCGTCAAAATTGACGGAAAAACAGATGGATAAATTCAAGCGGATTGTCCATCCAAACGTGAGACCGTTACACTTTGAGATTAAGACGTATTCAACCAATCAATCAATAAACTTTATTTACCCTCGAATTTACAGTGTAGCACTGAAGTGCTAAAATAAATAATTATAATAAAAAGTTAATTCTATATAACAAATAAGCTAACTAACTACCTAGACAACTAACTTGCAATTATCATGATGTAGAGAGGTTTGCAGTTCCTGCCCTTTAAAGTAAATTATTGTTCCCAGTAGATATCAGTCGTCGAAAAGAAGTAAAATCAGAAATAGTGCGGTAATGGTCAGGAAGAGAATTCCAAGATGTTGCTGCCAAGTAACTAAAGGAATTGATACCATAAGAAGTGGTCAATGGTTTGGGCAAACAGAGCATATTATGTCCTCTTAAAAAATAGGTGCTAGAGCGTAAACGAAACATGTCTTTTAAATATCTTGGATAATCAGAAAAATGATGACATTTAAAAATAGTAAGAATCATGTTTTGAAAACGCTTGTCCTTAAGGTTTGCAGTTCCTGCCTTTTTAAGTAAATTATTGTACTCGAAGTTACAATCCTTGAAAATAAATCGAAGAATACGTTTGTTTAAAAGGTCCAGTTTATCAGAATCTTGTTTATTAGAGAAATGCCACACCATAGAACAATAATAAAAGTGAGGAAGTATAAATGTCTTAATATATAGATTTAGCCAGGGCTAAAAGCGAAGCTCCCATTAATAACTTTGTAATTTCAATCAAACAATAAACTTTTATTCCACAAATCAGTTCACTTTAGAGCACATTCATGTGACTTTTGTTTTGAGGGATAAAGGCTAAGTGATTTGAGAGAAAAATAATTTGCTAACAGTCCAAGAGTGCACCAAACCTTACATCGAGTTGACGGCCTTATGTACACCCAAAAAATAGCAATCATCTACGATCGCATTTAACGTCCATAATGGCTCTTGATCACAGTACATTAGGCCTGGAAAACAAATACTTGGAAAGCAAATCCGGCAGAATTTTTTCCGTTTGACAAGTTTGCTTTA